GAAAATGGAATTCTATGGAAATTAAAACCAGCTATACTTCCAAAAAAATCATTTTAAAATGAAGAAATTATTACAAAACGAAAAGGCAAGTCACTGATTAGAAGTTCATAAATTGCATATGTCATAAAGGTGTTTTTAATCCAAATTTATAAAAACTCTTAGACTTCAATTATGATGTAATACTTCATTTTAAAATGAGCAAGATATTTGACTAGGCATTTTGCCAAAGAAAGCATAGGAATAAGTGCATGAAAAGGTACTCAATATCATTAGCCATTACCGAAAATGCTAATTATAATTGCAATGAGATACCTGTTCATACCTACTGGAGTGGCCCTAATCAAAAAGATAGACAATATCTTTCATATCATATGAAATGTCAGTGATGCTGTGGAGAAACTGGAAACCTCATACATTCCCACCTAGAATTTGGAAAATTTTGGAAAAAACTTGGAAAACAGTTTGGCAGTTTCTTAAAATGATCAACATAAATTTACCATCAGTCTGATGAATTACACTTCTAGAAGCTGCCCTATTGAAATGAAAGCATGTATTCACACACAAGTCTTGCGTGCCAATGTTTATAGCATTTTTAACAGCTAAACTAGGAATAATCCAAATGTCCATGACTAGGTGAATAGATAAGTGAAATGTGGTAAATCCATAAAATGAAATACTATGCAAACAAATTGCTGTGATTCATGCTAGAATATGCATAAATTTCAAAAACATTATTTTGTGTGAAAAAAGCCACATGGAAAACCCTACACATTTTATCATCCCATTTACATGAAATATCCACAGAAACAAAGTAAATGAATGGCTTCCTGGGGCTGAGCATGGGAACAGGGAATGTCTACAATGGGCATGAAAGATATCTCTTAGCATGATGGAAATGCTGTAAAACTGGATGGTGGTAATGGTTGCACAATGATGTAAATTGACTAAAAATCATTGAGTTGTGCATTCAAAATGCTTAAAACAGGTGAATTTTATGATATGTCAATTATACTTCAGTAGAGCTATTCTTAAAAATCTCAATCCCCCTCCCCTTTCTCACAGACACCAATCTTCCAGTTTATTAAACACAAGACCCCGTGTTGACCCTAAGGAAAAGAAGAGTACATATCACTCTTATTTTTTTTCCTCCATACAAGTTATAACAACCTAGGATGACAGCTATGACATACAAATAAATAACACCAATAACAGGTGACAAATGTTATGAGCACCTTCACTGTTATCTGTTGGTCCAGATGTTGGCCATCTCTCTCTCCTGCAATATCGTCTTGTCCAGTCCCCACCCCCCACGACCATCATTCCTTCCTCAGGCCTATTTCACCATAGTAGCCAACACAATCCTATCAAAACCTAATTTGGGCTCGGCGCCTATAGCTCAACCGGCTAAGGTGCCAGCCACGTACACCTAAGGTGGCGGGTTCGAATCCCCAGCCCGGACCCGCCAAACAACAATGACGGCTGCAACCAAAAAATAGCCGGGCGTTGTGGTGGGCGCCTGTGGTCCCAGCTACTTGGGAGGCAGAGGCAGGAGACTCGCTTGAGCCCAGGAGTTGGAGGTTGCTGTGAGCTGTAATGCCATGGCACTCTACCCAGGGGGACAGCTTGAGGCTCTGTCTCAAAAAAAAAAAAAAAAAAAAAAAAAACCTAATTTGGATCATTTTACTCCTCTGCTTAAACTGCTTCAATGGCTTCTCGGCTCTAGAGTCATTCTCTAGGTCTTTAATACGCTTTCATGGCCCTCCATGTTGACTGTCTCCTTTTCTCACTCAGCTCCAGCCAGACTCAAAAGCCTTTTTGATGTTTCTCAAACACCTTAGGCATGCTCTTACCTCAGGCCCTTTGCACTGGATGTTCTCTCTGCCTGGAATACTCTTGTACTGGATTTTGCTACATGGCTTGCTTTCTCACCTCCACCAAGTCTTTGCTGAAACATCACCTACACAGTAAGCCTACCCTGACAACCTTATGTAAATGCTCAGTACCCACCCCCAGAGTTCCCCCTCTTCCACCCAGGCTTCACACTTCTCCATTGCTCATATCACCTTCTACCATGTGTTACATAACTTATTCACTTATTTTGGTCACGGATTCTCCTCCACTGTGAAAATGTAAGTTCCATGAAGGCAAGGACTTTTGTCCATTTGGTAAGATGCCATGTTCCCAGTATATACAATAGTATCTGGTACTCAATTATTTTTGTTGAATGAACCACCAAGAAGAGTTACAAAGAGTTCATGAGAGGGAGGCTTCATTTGAAATGTACAAAATGTGTTTGGGAGAAAGTGTCTGGCTAGAGCAGAGAGGTGTCTAAGAGATTGAAAGAGATGAGGTCAGAATGTGGAGGTTTTTGAAAACCTAGAATATAACAAGCATCCAACAAATGTTAGATGAATACAAAAATTGAACAAATAAATGAGCAATCTGGTTGTGTTCTGCACACTGCCTTAGAGTCCAGTGCAAGAGTCTGAGCAGGGTTGATTGTGAAGAGCTAATTTACTGAACTGTAGCTTTTTTCCAAAGAAAAAACTTCTGTTGGCAAACAAAACATTTTCTGGAAAAGCTAAAACACTCTGTGCTATGCCTGAAATGGCCACTAGGGAATGCCCAACGCCGTAAGGCTGAGCTGTTAATGAAATTGGACTCCCCCATGAGATAACACCCAAGAGCCACAATCCCCATCCTTCTCCAGCATTATTTCCTCAATCTGCTCTGCCCCATGGCCCCATCTCACTGCTAAGCACAATACTGGACATCAGCTTAGTGTCCTAGGCTTTCTAAACTCCTCAAAATGGTGGTGCATTTTTCACTACCTCCCCTAAACAGGCCCTGTGCTTGAACTTTACAGGGTCATTCTTTGGTCTCTATATATGCTTCTTGTCTCATCACCTTTTTTTTTTCCATGCTGTCACCTCTACTTATCACTACCTATCCAATTCCTGTATTCCTTTAAGGCAGTGGTGGTTCTCAACCTTCCTAATGCCATGGCCCTTTAATACAGTTCCTGTGGGTCAGGACCCACAGGTTGAGAACCAGTGCAAGGCACAGCACACAGGCCTCCATCAGCCTTCCCTGATTAGTATTTCTCTCACTGCCTACTGCCTTTCTAAGATCCTGGGGCTCTCATCACCTGTCCCAGTCAGAAGTCACTTGGCAAACACCAATTCAGACCTTTTTCCTATCTAAACACTTGATTCTGGAAGTCCTGCTTGATTCAGAAATCTACCATTTCTGGGCTGTCAGGAAGGAAAGGCACAAAGGTCAAAAATGAATTTATGAAACAAATTAAAAAATGAAATTATGATTCTGCAGGATCTGTAAATAACAGCTTATTTGGGAGGGGGTCTCTGTAAAAGAAAGGAAAATTCTAACTGTCCCTAGAAGAAGAGATACTATATCCAGCTGCTTAAACCCTGCCCAGTGCCCTGCCCAGTGTCACCCCCCTCTCTGGCAGGCCCCCCACTGTTCCCCAGGCCACAGCCTATCTACTTTCATTATTCAGCCTAATCCAACTGCTTGGCTGCTAGCATATGGGGAACTATAATAGATGCCCAGGGCCTTTTTCCCACCTGCTACACTCTGTACTTTGTCATGTTCATGGTTCTAGAGAACAATGTGCCATAGACAGCAGGTATCAGAGATATATCCTGAGGGAAACAGGGGAATGGGGGAATTCCTGGCAAAGTCTATGGCCAGATTAGCCTAAACCAGCTCTTGGACAGCAAGGGACAGTTGGATTGAGGTAGAAGAAAACTAGCATTTCCTTTTAACCTATAGAACCACCTTGTGAGAAGGTGTTTTTTTTTTTTTGTTTGTTTTTGAGACAGAGTCTCATGATGTTGCCCTTGCTGGAGTGCTGTTACATCACAGCTCACAGCAACCTCAAACTCTTGGGCTTAAGCAATTCTCTTGCCTCAACCTCCCAGAGAAGGTATTCTTGTCACTATTTACAGACAAGGAAATTCAGGCTCAGAAGTGAGGGGTCTTCACTCTACAAAAATTAGAGGGGTGTGGCTCAGCGCCTATAGCTCAACCGGCTAAGGCGCCAGCCACGTACACCTAAGGTGGCGGGTTCGAATCCCCAGCCCGGACCCGCCAAAACAACAATGACGGCTGCAACCAAAAAATAGCCGGGCGTTGTGGTGGGCGCCTGTAGTCCCAGCTACTTGGGAGGCGGAGGCAAGAGACTCGCTTGAGCCCAGGAGTTGGAGGTTGCTGTGAGCTGTAATGCCACGGCACTCTGCCCAGGGGGACAGCTAGAGGCTCTGTCTCAAAAAAATAAAATTAGAGGGGTGGCTCAGCGCCCGTAGCTCAGTGGTGGGGGCACTGGCCACATGCACCAGGGCTGGTGGGTTTGAACCTGGCCTGGGCCTGCTAAACAACAATGACAACTACAAAAAAAAAATAGCCAGGCATTGTGGCAGATGCCTGTAGTCCCAGCTACTTGGGAGGCTGAGGCAAGAGAATCACTTAAGCCCAAGAGTTGGAAGTTGCTGTGAGCTGTGACATCACTGCCCTCCACTGGGGGCGACATAGACTCTGTCTCCCCCCACCCCAAAAAAAATTAGAGAGTTAGAGACAGGATTTGAATCCAAATCTGAGTAAGTATAATGAGCCAGTCCCTTCCCATTGGACCACAGTGTGCCTCTATATCATATCCAGGCTTTCTCTCCTCTGTAAGTCCTAACACCGTGATGGGCACACTGAAAGAGGTGAGCTCTTTTGCTTGTGTGTTTTTGAAGTTTTTGGCCAGGGCCAGGTTTGAACCTGCCACCTCCGGTATATGGGGCCAGTGCCCTACTCCTTTGAGCCACAGGCACCGCCTGCTTGGTTCTTGTTGTTGTTGTTGCAGTTTGGCCAGGGCCAGGCTCAAACCCACCACCCTCAGTATATGGGGCTGGCACCCTACTCACTGAGCCACAGGCACCACCCTCTGGTTCTGTACCTGACTGAGAGCCCCAAAGCAGACATTTGCTACTTACATTGTAAGATGTGAGATACCATCAACGCTGTACAGTTGTCACTGCATGGAAGCCTTCCTAGAGCCAAATCCTTCCTTATTTGAAGAGTAAAAAGATATCTGCAAAGAAATTGGGGGAAAAACTCTTGAGAAAGAAACAGCAATAAGAAAGAAGCATTTCCCTTCTCCTAGTTTAAAGATGATTCAAGAAAGTAACAGTGCCCCCAGTCAGTCAGATGCCTTTTGGGGGTGGTGAGTAATACATAAGCTTTGCTTTAGCCCCAAACCAGCCCCAGACCACAAGTTGGCTGATCCAGCACTTTGGCAGCCATTAGGAATCACTCCGGCCAAATCCTCCCGCCAACTTGAGGGAGTTGGCCAATCATCCTCTGGTGGTTTCTGCCACGTAGCAAAGCTATGTCCCCAGCTACAGGAAAAAAAGGAGATCCAACAAGAATAAGTACATTCAGAAGGCCAGTAGTGTACTGTTTACAAAATAGCATCAAATACACACCTTGATAATAACTTAGGAGGGTCATGAAGCAAAGAATGAACATCTCATTTCACAATTATGGAAATAGAGGGACTAGGCGATTTTGACAAGTCATATCACCCAAAGCTAGTGAAACTGTGGCTTGAACTTGAGCCTGCCACTGAATTCAGGCTGCCTTCTATCCAAAAGATTATGTTTGCGAAATCAAAGACTTGAGGGCTTATCTCCGCCCATGTTATTCCCTTTGCCTACACTACTGCTCTGTATCACCAGAGCCCGGCACAGTACTTTATACAGAGTAGCTACTTAATTAATGTTTACTGAAAGTGAACTAAACCAGACCACCCTTTTTCCCACTGAAGCCTTATCAGGGACCCATAAAATGGAGGTTGATATGCAAGGCTCTGCCAACAGATAGCATTCTTCCCACATGTGTAAGCCTTTATCAAAAGACAATGAACTTTTGGAAGAAAATATATATAACAAAGACTCCACCACTGAGTGCCTTCTTCCATGGTCCAAAATTGGCTCTCGTATGTATTATATATTAGTTTTTAAAGACAGGGTCTCAGTCTATTGCCCAGGGTGGAGTGACAGAGTTTCACTATATTGCCTAAGCTGGTCTTGAACTCCTAGCCTTAAATGATATTCCCCCCTCAGCCTCCCAAAAGTTTTGGGAAGACAGGCATGAGCCATACATGGTACCCAGCCCTAACATTTTATTTTAGAAATGAAAACTCTTTTTGAGTGTATGTATTGTAAGCATTTCCCTATGTGAAATATGGTTTTCTAAATGTTCTATGTGGATTTTTAAAAAAAAAAAAACCAATTAAGCCTTGAAAGCAATGTGGTAAATCAAAATTAATTGCAAGTGAGAGATGAAAATTCAGATAAAAAAATCAGGTATATTAGCAGGTGATTATTCAGTTTACAGAAGCATTCATTATAATCTTTCAAATTGTGAACTCCTCTAATGCATTAAAAATGATTCCACTAGAAAAATTCTACCTGCACACACTCTCAGAAGCCCATGTATTAGCTTAAACTAGGCAGCCCTGTAAACTCGACTACAGTTAAGTATTCTTTCATAGATCAATGGGGGAAAAAAATAAACGGAGCCTAACGTTTGTCATTGCCTATTTTAAAATGTAGATATGGCTCGGCGCCTATAGCTCAACCGGCTAAGGCGCCAGCCACGTACACCTAAGGTGGTGGGTTCGAATCCCCAGCCCGGACCCGCCAAACAACAATGACGGCTGCAACCAAAAAATAGCCGGGCGTTGTGGCGGGCACCTGTGGTCCCAGCTACTTGGGAGGCAGAGGCAGGAGACTCGCTTGAGCCCAGGAGTTGGAGGTTGCTGTGAGCTGTAATGCCACGGCACTCTACCCAGGGGGACAGCTTGAGGCTCTGTCTCAAAAAAAAAAAAAATGTAGATATAACTTAGAATCATCAGCTGGGGTCACTACAGGGAAAGTGAATTTCATTTCGCTTCTAGCAAGAAAGAAAGGAAATTTCTTGTCATTTGACACGGTCCTTGCTGGTAAGAAGGCAGCTGCTTGCTACAAATACCAAATCCTTGCTCTGAACAGCTGATGAATCATTTATCATCACATTGATTTTCACATTCTTTTTTTTGAAAAAGTTGATCTACATCAAAATTGGTTACAATTAGAAACTCAAATAAAATGGGTTAGCAAATGCAAACTGATGTAGATATCAAGATACGAAGTTATCTAGGAAAGCAACCTATAACTCACACATGTGGAGAGAATGGGGGGGGGAAGAGGGAGAAAGAAGCTTGTGACAAGTGACTTTTGCAAAGGTCCCTCATAAAAGTCCTGTATAAAAGGAGTGAAGATGAACTGTCCATGAGCCACATTGGGGGCGGGGGTGACGATATCAGGGAGAATAACTGCCAACAACCTGTGATCTTAGGCACATCATGTTCACTCCCAGGACCCATTTCCTCATCTGGAAACCAAGAAGACGGGACTAGATTATCTCTTAGATCCCTTTCATGTGTAAGTCTAGAAGTGGAGTAAGGTGTGGGAGAGAGTTATGTGTTGACAATGTATCTTTGCAGAAGTAGATTTACGTTGCCATTCGGACGGGCATTTTTTATAAGTGTATGTCATCATTACAGAATATTTTGCCTTCTACTTATGCACTACATCAACACAAGCCCCCGTTTTCAATATCCATGGCAATTGGCTGGCGTCATATCTATGCTGTTAAGCTGCTCCCTGAATGAAAGAGATGCCATGAAGGAGATGCCAAGATCCCGCTCCTTGTTGTAGCAGTTAATGGCATAACCCTCAAGTGGTCACCCAGGCCTGATGCCACTTCTAGAACATCACCCCTCCTTCTTGCAGTTCTTGCCCTTTGGAAGATTAACACCTGAGACCAGCCAGGCCCACCCATCTCCAACTCCTAACCATTTCTCAGAGAGTGACTTAAAGCCAGGCCAGTGTAAAGCCCTTGCCCTGATAAATAGAGAATAATGATTAGCATCATAACATCATAAAGCAGCCGCACAAATCAACACCATACCTTGTGAGTTCTTCACGCAGATGTCCAGGGTCCACTGGGAAAAATTTCACCATAAATTTGAAAACAACCTCCTTAGGATCTTAAAACACAATAGCTCCATAAGTTTTATATAAATGTTCATCAAAACAGTTACACACACACCCCCTCTCCTTTTTCCTCCCCTCTCCGTTACTCCCACAAACTCTTGTTTTAAATTTTATTATATATAATAATTTATATATACAAACAAATGTTTTTATATAAACATTTATATAAAATGTTCCTATTTCTAAATTGTTCTCTATGAGGATAGCAATTGGGAAAGTTCTCCCACCTTTGAGTTTACTTTTGTAAAAATGTGCCCCTTCGGGGCCTACTCTGTCCTCTCCTAAGAAATGTCCCATTTCGAAGAACATACCACTTACTACTTGGATTCTACGTTCCTGACTGAGAAGAGCCCAGCTTCAGCTGGGGCGGGTGAATATCGCCTGATATAAGGATCTCATAATAGGAACTGGAAGCAGTTTGGACTGATGCCTCTACCTTAAAATAGACATCAAGGAAACGCATGTACTATCTTCACACCGACTTGCATGTGAGAATAAGAAACTCTTTACGTCAATAGTAAACATATGCAGCATTAGCACCACTCATTCAGTAAATATTTGTTGGGTGCCTATTATGTGCCAAGCATTTCACTAGGCAGGTACGGGGAGTAAAATGAGAATTTGCAGTCGGGCAGAAGAGACATCTACATAGACAACTGCCACACCACAAAGTGCTATGTGACATAAGTACTGAGTACTAAGGAAGCACAAAAGAGAGAAGAGTTTGTAGGATGTTAAGTCTTTTCAGAGGGGTTGACACCTGAGGAGGGCTGCCAGGTGACTAAAAACTGCAGCACTCCCAGCTCAATTTGAATTTCAGATAAACAATCTCATGGAACACACTTACATAAGAAAATTATTCTTTATTTGAATTTAATTTAATTGGGCATTCTATATTTTACCTGTGAAGACTACACCTGAAATCATTTTTGACTTTTTGTCAAAGTCACCTGAGGTAGGAGGTGAAATGTGGTGGCTCATGCCTGTAATCGTAGCATTCTGAGGACTAAGGTGGGATGATTGTTTGAGGTCAGGAGTTCTAGACCAGCCTGAGCAAGAGGGAGACTCCCCATCTCTACAAAACATGGAAAAATTAGCTGGCCATAGTAATGTGTGCCTGTAGTCCCGGCTACTCAGGAAGCTGAGGCAGGAGAATCACTTGAGCCCATGAGTTCAAGGTTGCAGTGAACTGTGATGAGGCCACCACAGTCTAGCCCAGGTGACAAAATAAGACTCTCTAAAAGAAAAAAAAAAAAAACTGAGGTGGGAATACAAAAGTGGTTGATTACCTTTCTAGCCTTGCCCAGTGACTAATCTAGCTTTGTGTATCATGCTAATGAGTTTGAACCTTACTACCCTAAGGGCAATAGGGAGCCCTGGAAGCATTTTAAGGCAGGAGAGTGAAGTGTTCAAGTTTGTGTTTTCAAGAGCTTCCTCTGAGAGTGGTGGAGGTGATGGATTGGGGAGAATTGGTGCAGAAGCTACTGGCCTAGGACAAATGATAGTTACACAGTGGAACACACAGAATTGTGGGGAGCACAACATGTAAAGAAAGAACAGGGGGCAGAAGAACCAATAAAAGACAGTGTTTCTCCAAGGGCTGATGGAAATCTGCCTGCCTCAAACACCTGTGGAATTTGTTAGACTTGCAGGTTGTTGGCCCCCAACCCAGGAATGAGGCCCAGGAATCTGCATTTTAACAAGAGGCCCAGATGATCCTAATGTACACTGAAATTTGAGAACCACGGCACTAGATTGTGAAATATAGGCAAGAAATATTTCATACATATTAGGCACTCAAATATGAACTGAAGCAAATGAGTAATGCTTGTGATGGGATAAAACTAAAGGATCTTCAGGCAGAAAGTGAACGGCATTGCAGATTGACATCAAGGATGCTTAAAGATTTGCAGCACCAGAGCATGAGATATATTCCTAGAGCCAATCCATAGAGTGCTGTAATTACATGGGTTCTTCAGATTTATTCAAAGAGCCAGCAGCATGATTTCCTTCATCTCAGGCAAAATTAAAACAATTTTCTAAATTGCTAAATTTACTAGATGTATGAAGGATTGATATAATATATCAAAGCACTTCTCCCCCCTTATATTAAGGTGAGGAACTGCAGTGTGGCAGAAATATTTTTCAAGTTCTAACTGGTAACTATATTTCTTAAATGATTTTCCGTACTTACTTTTTACTTGCTTTGTTATGGGCTTCAGAAGTTCCAACCAAACCTGTAACAACAGTAAGGAAAAAATTGGTAAAATATGGGATTCAGCAGAGCTTTTTATTTTCTTTTTGGTAACAGGTAAAGGTCAATGTGAAATAAACAAATGCCAGCTCGGCGGCTGTAGCTCAGTGGCTACGGCTTCAGCCACATACATTGGAACTGGCAGGATCGAATCCTGCCTGGGCCTGCCAAACAATGACTACAACCAAAAAAATAGCTGGGCTTTGTGGTGGGTGCCTGTAGTCCCAGCTACTTGGGAGGCTGAGGCAAGAGAATCGCTTAAGCCCAAGAGGTGGAAGTTGCTGTGAACTGTGATGCCATGGCACTCTACCCAGGGTGACAGCTTGAGACTGTCTCAAAGAAAACAAAAAAAGGGCAGCGCCCGTGGCTCAAGGAGTAGGGCACCAACCCGTATATTGGAGATGGCAGGTTCAAACTCGGCCCTGCCCCAAAACTGCACAATAAATAAATGCCAGGACTGTTTGGACTTCTATAGATAGAAACAAACAGCAATGTCACAGAGATGGTGCACCTTCACCACACTCAATCTGCCCCCTTAGATTTTCCCAATGACAGTGAATATTGTTCTATAAACTTTCTTGTTGACATTTCAATCACTGTTCCCCTGCCTTAGTAGGATGACAGAGGTGTCACATATATGGCTCATCAGTTGCTACAAAGACTAATAAAGGCATTTAGTTCCCCATTTAAATCCTACAGTCGCCAAATGCCAGCTTAATAGACACAATGAACCTTTCTGAGAAGATGCCAGGTTACATATGTGCCAAGGCAGGGCACAGAGGAAGAATATCATGAATGTTAGAATCTCAGAAGAAAGACTCCCCTGAATATTTATTGCTAAGGTCAGGATCTTAATTCTAGGGGTTGAGGTACAGCCTCTGGAAAGTAAAAATGTAGAGGGCACCAAAAAATGTATACACATCTTAAGCAAGGAACAATCTGTATTAAAATTGTAATAGGCAAGTCACGTTTAACTTCTGCAACTACAAGAGACACAGGATACAACATACAAGATAACAAGCGGTATCAGTGTATGCTGAGTATACAGTTTTAAGATAGTTTTTTTCTTTGCTTAAAATGTGTATACATTTTTTGGCACCTTCTGTAGATAAAGCACGGAGAGCTGTTCAGAGTGACAAAACAGGACCATAGACCATGGGGTAGAAGTGTTTGTGCTTGGCAAACTGAGGTGACTTTTAATCAACTTGGACAGAAGATGAAAACATAGGTACTAAATTCAATCAAATGACTTTTTTATTTTTCAATCAGGGGCTTGAACCCTATGTACCCAGCTACCAATTGCATTTAGAAACAATTTTAGACACAAAGAACCCTATAACGAAACCAACTTACATTATTTCCAGAGTGGCTGCAGAATTCTAATCCAAAATATTCCTTTTCTGCAAGATTTAGATGGCTGCAACTCAGGTTAAACAGTGCCCTTCCAGGTGACTTTTGCTAAACAAAACAAAGAGATCATATAGCACAGTTTACGTTCCTAACCTGATATTGCTACTAAAGCGTGGAATAAAGTGCAGAGGCAACCAAACTCTTCAAGACCTGTTCCCTTTAAGCACTAGAGAACCAGCATCCTCCTAAATGTTATTAAGCTTTATACATAGATCCACACATCTATCTGCAGATTGTTTTAGGGACATCCCTTTTTAAAAAAAAAAAACCCTGAGACTAATGACAAACTCTCTTGGGAAAAGAGAGCCTTGCACTTAACTGTGTCTAGCTAGATCTGCAAATTTACCCTTTCAATGGAATACTTCAATCAATTCTTCCTACAGGCAATTTGAATGATTTTTTTTAAATTGACAGATAGTTTAATCAAGATGTAAATCTGACCCTGCTATTCCCCTGCTTAAAATCCTTCAGTGGCTCCCCTCAGGATAAAGCTCTACTCCTTAGCATGGGAAGCTGGGCCCTCTGCTGCTCAAGTGGCCCTTGCTGCCCCTCCTCCAGCCTCATCTCCTGCCTCTCCTGCCTGACACTTTCCTCTTTAAGAGCTGCGTACTGTTCTTAGTTCCGGGCACATGCTCAGCCATTTCATGCCTTCATGCCTCTGCTCATATTATTCCTTGCTCATATTAGTCTGCCAACCGCTTTTCCCACCTTGCTTTGGTTTGGCTTACTCCTCCTCAGCTCAGATGTCATGGGGGGAGGGTCTCCAATCTTTACGATCTTTATCAGCTGCAAGCTGAGCCAAGGGCAGGCCCCAGTACCCCCAAAACGCCCTGGCTTACCTCAAACATGGCCCTTTTTACTCTGGACGTCTCGTTCCCACAGACAGAATTTCTCCATAGCAGCGACTTTGCTTTATTTCTCTTGTTACTCACCCGGTCTAACTCAGAGCAAGGCACCTAGTGGGGGCTCTTGAATCGTGTGTTGATCCACCATGAAAATGATCATAGGATTATATGAACCCTTGAGCAGATTCCATCTCACAGCTTTTCCTACCTAGCGAATCTGCACACGGTACCGTGGTCCCATAAAGCCACATGTATTATTTTCCTTCGTGAAGCCCCCACACAGGGTGAGCCCCAAACAGTCCCTTTCTCATTCTTCTGAGAACAGGAGCTTTGAACCACTCTCTGTGAAAACCTCTCTGAGCTGAGTATGGCTGGCACTCGTCTTCAGCCTCCACCAATGCTGAACCAACCGGAGGGTTGCTGCTGCAGGGTGAACTGTGACGGGAAAATTGAGCCCTGGCTGATAGGCATAAAGACACGCTGCTGAAAACCCCTAGTTAAAGCCGAGTCACGCGGTGCCTATAGTGCGCTGCAAAGGAAGCCGGGCGCGGGGGAAATGGAGTTGGAAATCACCGACCCATAGAATTAACAGCAACCTTGAGAGGTCAGAGAGTCCATCCACCACCCCCCACCTCAAGGCAGTACCACAATGAACAGAGCCCACATCTGGGATTTAATAGCTTCCAGGAAGGTGGCCTACCTCACCCCCTTCCCCCACCAACCAAAAATACGCCCCTCTCCCCTTGCACTTCTCCCCATTTGGTTCCACTGCCCAGAGCTCTACCGACTTAAGAGTCATTTGGATTAATCCGGGTCCTATTTTTAAATGCAAACTGTCGGCAAAGGGTGAAACCCATTCATCCCTAGCACCTGGAGAGAGAGCTGCCCTACTGTGGGAAAGGGGGTTGGAATTGATTTGGGAGATCACATTGGAGGCAGGGTCCAGGAAAAGGGGGTCAGCCCGAGGGGCAGGGGGAGGGGGAAATGCCAAGGCAATGGGGGGGCTAGGAGGAACGTTAGGGAGGAGGGGGATGTTTTTGCCTATGTGGCAACCTTGCCTAGGGCAAGTGCTGACACAGACCATTCCAGACAGATGAAATCGCTCCTATTTTTAAAGTCCTCCAGACAAGGAGCTGCCACAGGATTTTTATTATAAAAAAAAAAAAAAGAAGAATTTCTAAAGAGAGAGAGATGACAGCAATACTTTTTCCAACACCAAAGAAACATTGCAGTCACGAGGACTAAATTCCGTCATAGACTCCAGTTTCTTTGCAAACAATTTAAGAAGCTCGAGATTTTCCTTTTTCCTCTTCACTTTTTATTCTTATTTTCCACTGAGGCGCTTAATCCTCCCATATCAATGCTGTCACATTCCATGTGTTTGTATACTTAAATGTTTCTGCAGTCACAAAGAATATATAGCCATATTTTTTGTTTGTTTGTTTCAAATTAAGGCTTTCTTTTTTTCCCTTCTGTAAGATCCCATACCATGTTTATAAGAATAATTCCCTGATTCATCCATTCTTGTGTAAGTGTTGCCAACTGGCTCTAAAAGCCCTTGGCATTTACACATTTGGAGGTCAGGCGCTCACGAGGCTTAAGCTCTCCACCCCCATCTCCAGGAGAGGCATTTCCCTTCAGTCCTCCATAGTGTACATTGTAAACTTGGCCAGCTTTGTGGAATGTGTTGCATAATAGGTAAGGTCTTGATTCTGTCTTAACACGCAGCCTTTAATTTTTTTCTGCCATTATGATCCAATTCCTCAATTTTGATGTTATGATTATCATGCTCATAATATCTCCTTATATACAACTTTCCAATTTTCTCTTGTCTGCACTTCTGATTCTCCGTATAATTGCTTGCTTGCTCTTGTTTAAGCTGGCTCTTTTCAATATTCTCATCAAGCTCCTTAGGGAATCTAAATTCGTTACCACCAGTCAGTCCTCCCACTCAAGGAATTAAAAGTCCAGTCCTGCATCCTGTCTTGTCCTCATCTCCCTTGGATTATAGTAGGGCAGTGTCTGCTGTTTAAAATGCATTCATACTGTATTATATAATTTTAAACAAACCTTTGAAAACTTGTATTTGTAATCTCTAATTTACTGAATTGTAACCATTGGACACTGATTCCTAGGGGATCCAACCTCATCTTCTCGTGGGAACAAAAATATTCAAAGTGGCTAGCTCTAAAAGCCAATGTACCAAAGTTTCCATACACTTGAAGTTGTCATATACCAATTAGTTAGATTAATAAACCCGAATTGTAATCTTGCTCACTTATTAACTGGACGAATAGTGCAAATCACTTAGCTCACATATTGAGCTACCTTTTCCAGGTACCTAAAGATGGAAATTGGAAATCATGTGTTTGACTACTTGGTATTAAGTACAGTGCCTGGCAAAGAGTAGACATTCAATAAATGTTTACTGAATAAATAAATGGACCAAAACATTCAACTTGATTCACGTATATAACCTTGATAGTCTTCTCAGGAGGAAGAACAAATTAGTCACTATGTGACCTTGGACAAACTACTGAAATCTTCTGAGCCTCAGTTTATTCATCTGTAAAATGGAGATATTATTCCAGAGTTGTTATGAAGATTATTCACATCAAAGTCTTAGTACTGTGCCTGGCACATCATATGACTTCAGCAATGCACATGTATGGATAAATACCCAGAAATGATTCTGCGAGGATATACATCAAACTGTTACCAACATTATCCCTAGAAAGCAGATAGAATAAAGGGGATTTTAACTTTTTACTCTAATACACGTCTAATTTTTTTTTATGAGCGAACACAGTAGAAACTTTTTTTGACAGTAGAAACCTTTTTCACCAACTTCCATTCAACAATACACAGATAATGCTTTCCATTCCCCCTTTAAAACATTGGCAGATATCCACATTGTAATGAAAGCTCATGGCTGGTAGGTTCTCTAATACAGTTATATACTTTGACAGCAACTGATTGAATCCCATGCTTACTAATTTTTTGAACATATTTTTGACAGTTCTACTTGTTATTATAATATGCAATTTAATTAAATTATATATAAAATTATGAGCACTAAAGACAAGAGTTCTTTCCATTAAAATTGATCACTTTGTAAAAACTTAATAAGGGGGAATCCCCAAAACTATGCTGTCAAATTAGTTTCAGATATGACAGCAGTAAAAGATTGGGAGAGAAAATACATCAAAATCTGGAATGATTCTGTACTCGAACTGCTTTTGCAAGCATCTACTTTCTTATTCCATGTTAAAACAATACTGGAAATCAGAGATGGCACATTATGGGTTTGGTTTATTAAAGAAGGGAAAAGAGGAACAATCAGAAGTCTATACTAGGAAAAAAAAAGGCCTTGGCCCTACTTTAAAACTTTGACTATGTATGTGTTTTATGTTAAAGTAAAAAGTTTAAGGTGTTTGTGTGTATATGTATATATGACTTCTTATGAATCTGCTTTAGCAAATTTTATCAATTAACTGATAAACACCCACTTTTTTCTGAGGTAGTCTCCCTTGTCACCCCTAGTAGATTGGTGTGGTGTCATCGCGCACAGCAACCTCAGACTCTTGGGCTCAAGTGATTTTCTTGCCTCAGCCTCCGGAGTAGCTGGGACTATAGGTATCCACCACAACACCCAGCTATGCTTTAGAGACAGGGTCTCGCTCTTGCTCTGGCTGCTCTCGAACTCCTGAACTCAGGCAATCCACCTGCCTTAGCCTCCCCGCAGCATGTTGGGTTTATAGGCGTGAGCCACCCAGCCCAGACTTGAACAACCACTTTTGATGACATTAGAAAAAATAGATGGTTTGGCACCTGTGGTTCAAGTGGCTAAGGCGCCAGCCACATACACCTGAGCTGGCGGGTTTGAATACGGCCCTGGACCACTGAACAACAATGATGGCTGCAACCAAAAAATAGCCAGGCGTTGTGGTGGGCGCCTATAATCCTAGCTACTTGGGAGGTGGAGGCAGGAGAATCACTTGAGCTCAGGAGTTGGAGGTTGCTGTGAGCTGTGATGCCACAGCACTCTACCCAGGGTGACAGCTTGAGGCTCTGTCTCAAAAAAAAAAAAAGATTCT